ATACTGTCCAAAATCCGGATTATCTCACTTTGGTCATTTATGTTTGAACTAAAGGCATAACAGTCCTCCAGTGACCGTTTGTGAAAAAAACTTAATTTTCAGTGACCGTTTGTGAAAGTGTATGAAACTTCAGTGATTGTTTCTGCAAGTTTTGAACTTCAGTGACCGTTTTATTATTTTTGCGTAAGTTCAGTGATCATTTGTGAAATTAACCCTTGAAAGTTCAAATATCAATTGTGCTTTTTACCCTTTTTACCTAGCAATGAATGCGTCATAAAATAAAAGTCACTTTCCTCTTTATTATTGGACAAAAGTGCTACTTTCCGACTTTCTCGACAAGAGAAAAATTCCATTTTTCTTGCATGTTTGATCAATAACAAAACTTTAACATTATTAAAGTCTTAAAGATGAAAAAAAATAAAAATATATTTATTATTTTATGAAGTTCCATAATAATGCATACCGGATAAGCTACAATATTACTTTCGACGACCGAGTTGCAATAAAATTGGTCAATTTGTGGTTGGTGAACCTGTGTACTCTTTAGTTATTAATAAAATAGTGAAACTCGTATTTGTAAATTAATTAACCTTGAAAACACACAAAGATTGAAACTTAACGTTTTTGTCATCGTTTACTAAACCGAAAGTTTCTACAAAATGAGTTTTTTTTGTTTTTAATGTAAAACATTACCAAATATATAGAATTAGACTATGTCTTGACAATTAAACAGGATCCTTTTGTCCTATTATTTCCTTTTTTTCTATACAAAAGCGCCAATATACCATTATTGCTGTACTACAAATGCAATGTATCATGTTCAATTTCGATCTTCAGAGTTTGGAAAATACATCGAATATGCCCAATTTTGCACATTTTGTTTGAACAAAGCGGCACCAAAGGTCAAAGACGTAACATTGTTTGTGCCCAAAATCCCCACAATTGATAATGGGTTTCCATAATATTTGCAGACAAGCCCATGATGGTTAATGACTTGGTGACAACACCATCATGACCATGGTTTTCTTGGTTGTAGACAAAAGAAAATGGGTCATTATCAATGATAATATTATAGTTTCCTGCAATATAAAAAGCGCGAAATTATCTCTTTTATGTCGGAGAATGAACAAATTTATTTATTTAGTTTATATTTTCAATAATGTTACCTTCATGTATTGTGTCGATAAAAGGGTCGAAATTTTTTAAATTTAGGAACCCATATGCCTTTATATATTGCTAGGAAACACAGAAAATTTCCTTCCTTGAGACTAGGGAACATGGAGAAAGCAATTGATCATTCTCATTCATCATTCAAATTTAGACTCTTCAAAGCCTTTTTTCTGTGTTTTGCACTTGTTTCATCTCTAACTTCAATTTCTCTTCATCTCTCTTTCTTGCTTCCTTTTTTCTCACTATTAGTTCTGTCATCTCTTCTGCTTTTTAACTTCATCCACAAGAAGAGCTCAATCTCTGATGAAATATTACTTCAAGAAGCCAAACAGAAGCCAGAAAATGAGACTATTGTGCAGGAGTACGACGAAGATGAATGTGATTTCACAATGAGCAATGATTTTGAGCTTCGTTCGAGTTTGATTTCTTGTGAAAATAGTATGTTTTCGAGTGTGATTTCATCGGATGATGAATCGATCACTGATGGTGATGATGAAGACTATCTAATTGAAATCCCCCTGCCAGAGCAAGTGACTGGTTTAAAACAAGGGAAGAAGAAGAAGAAGAAGAAGTTGGACACAGACGAATTGCTGGATTTGCTGCCTGAATCACTTTTGGAACAAGAAGGGCTTGCTCAATTACTTTCAGAGATTAATGGGGAAGATAATTTGATTGAGATTGACATTTCAGTTGGATCAATCAGATGTTAAACATGCAATGCAAGTCATTTTAGTAACTTACTATATGTTTTTTGATTGTAGGTGGCAAAGTAAAGTCTTTCTTTAAGAACATAATTTCCAAGCATTTTGCATTTGAAATGTTTTTTAGGCGTTTGAAAAAAATCCGGCCTATTTGTTGTGAAAAAGATGACAATAAAAGTAAAAGATAAACACACGGATTTGCAGAGGAATATTTATTTCTTGAGGAATCACAATACAGTAGATTGGGCGACTACTAATTTCGCTTACAAGCCATATGTCAAAAAGTAACATATATATAGTCAGANTGGGCGACTACTAATTTCGCTTACGAGCCATATGTCATAAAATAACATATATATAGTCAGAAGAAGAAAAACCCTAATACAATGAAAATACCCAAAATACCCTTGTGTGAATTTTCGCCAGTTGTGGTTGGGTGTCCAGTATAGTCAGGTTCCACACAACTCAACACTATTATGCGTAGTGAGGTTGAGATAGAAATTTAACGAGTTATCGGGAATTAATAGCTCAGCGCAATCGTAAAATTCAAGTCATATCTAGGACAACCCGGAATTCGGAGTGATCAAAGGGTTGATTAACTATTGCCAAGTCATTATGAGTTGACTGCTGTCATACCAACAAAGAAAGAAAGCCATCAAATAGAATCTGATTCCCCTAATCCTCATGATTTCTACAAAATCAAACATGTACAAAGGCACAAAAGAAGATTGAACAAATTATTAGCCATTTTGAAAAGTAATGGTGTGAAGGGGTGTTGGTTCGCGCACACCAGTATGTGCCAGCCATGCACACGGCTGTGAAGAAAGCCCGCCCAAGTCATCGTTTTAACCTCACCTTTCTTTCCCTCTTTTGAAAAAAAAAAAAACTTTTTATGACAAAATCCACGTCTACTTGTGCAAGACTTTATAAACACCCAATAACTACCCAAACATGGCAAATTGCATCTTCAGACACCGCGAAATCGCATATTTGTTACCAATAGCATTTAAAGAATGGCTATCGCATTCCAAGTGAAATGCAAAAAGACTGAAATTCCGTAAGTAATTTAGTGAGTTCTTTCTTCACTACTTGTGCAGGCTTGATGGAGTTAAGTTGTCAGAAGGGAATAGTTTTTTAATCAAGAATGCCTCAACTAGATAAATTCACTTATTTTACCAAATTCTTCTGGTGATGCCTTTTACTCTTTACTTTCTATATTGCCTGATATTGTAATTAATCCAGCATTTGTGAGTATTACAAGATGACAATGTTCATTCATCACATCTAGAAAAAGAAAATATACTAAATATATCAAATATTCCTTATATTTCAACATCACTTTCTAATTTGATCTCGACTCCTATTTTGATCTCAACATCTTGTAATTAGATAGACAAAATCCAAAATCTAAACCTCACAAAAATCGCAAATCGTTTGCCAGTATTAACATCCATAACCGTCAAACACGACAAAAAATCATTAACCTCCACTTCCAAGATGAAATTACTACAAAATCAAACATGTCTAAAGGCAACAATAGAAAACTGAACAAATTATGGGCCATTTTGAAGAATACTTTGGTGCACACCAGAATGTGCCCATATAAGTGCCAAGTTTTGCACAATTGTGTGAACGGCTGTGCATAAAGGCCATCCCAGTTCATCGTTTAACCTGACTTCTCTCTCTCTCTCTCTTAAATCCACTTTTACTTGTGTAAGATATTGATTTGAATTTCATAAATAATATATTTTATAATTTCAAGTCCAAGTACATACATTAACTTAAGCCCGAGTACATATTGTACAAGGATATAGTCCATAAGTCATATTCTATAATAATCTGAAGTTCGCATATAACCTTTGGTAATTCTCTTAAATTAATCCTTCTCTTAACATATCTCAAACCATGCCTCTGTCAACCTATATGTTGCCTTCATATTTGGACAAAAACTGTAAGCACCAAGGTATGAAAAATGATTGGCGACGCTGGTATTTCGATGATCAAGTTAACTGCCGGTTCAAAGTTATATGGAGGATTGGGTGTTGGGATAGACAAGCATGGACAAATTTGACTAGAGTTTAGAAATGCATACCTTTTCGGCTTTTCCTAACATATAGGAAAGGATTCATTGTCGAACAATGATTGGGGTGTAAAGTTGCCGTTAGTTCACATGACTCATTGTTCGGTCATGGTTGGTTTCTTTCCCTACGTTTATTTCTTTGTCCAACAAGGTTTTTTGTAGATGCGGAGAAAATGGCAAAATGATGATGCTGTGGATTATTGTGTTGGGCCGGTTTTGTTTGGTTATTACTTGGATTAATTGGTGGCTGTCATTTGGTTATAAGCGTGTTTTTACTTGATGGCTGAGATGTTGCCAAATGTGGCCCCATGAATCGTTGGATCGGTCGACCTTCTGGAGACTTCTCATATACACTTGGGGTTTGAGTTTGATGGATTATTCATTCTCTCGTACTCTCTCGTACTCTCTGTGTTTTCATCTTCTCCGTTCTTCTGCACTCTGAAAATTGGAAAGCCATTTCGATTGATAATTTGTAAAGGGTTATGAAGTGTCCTTGAGGGGATTTCTATTTCGATCAGTTTGAGGGCTTTCAATTTTGATGTAATCTTGAGTGATTTCATCTGAGTGCCTTGGCGTAATTCTGAACGATTTCTTGATTCCAGTTAATATAGTGATTTCTTCGTGTTAGTGGAAGCTTAAAAAGGGATTATGAACTCCGGTTCTGAACTTCTTACCTTAGGTCGAAAAATCTCGTATTCTTTTACTTGTTTTTCTGTTGATTTTGTGCATTATTATTTCTGATTTTGTTGAAAGTGGCTGATAAATTGAACTTGACCATTACAGTAGAGATTGATGCTAATAGATATTACTTGTTTCTCAATGATCACATGCTGATTTCTAGGAACTGATATGGGAGTTCCGTTATCAAAAACTTTCTTCTTTAAGTACATGAATATGAGTTATGCAATGCTTCGTCAAAATCATTCAGCGGGCAAGTGTTTTCCTGTGGGCTGTGGGGTGGTATCTCGCGAATTCAGAGAGGTGATGATAATGGCGAAGGTGAAAGCAGATGGGTCATGGCCTTCATCTAATATGGTGGCAGATGTGCGAATTTGGCAAGTGTCCCTTTGCTGGAAGCCTATGTGGCTTCAAGCTGGTACCTACGTGGAGCCTCCACGGAATTTAGGGCATAACAATATTCCTCCTAGTCTAATATTCATGTTAGACGACAGACTTTGCTGTAGCGAATGGGTAATTTTCTTGATTTTCTTTGCTCTAATGTGTGTGAGATTCACTACAGATCTGCATTCGGGCAAATCAAATCATCGTCAATCTCCAAGTATTGGGGTCCGTGCTTTTGCTAAGCTATAACACGAAGGCCTTGATGTTAAATATAACAATAATCCTCCAAGTTCAATTCTAAATATTCTTGTTAGACAAAAAACTTTACATGGGGATGTATGTCTGTTGACAAAACAAAACATCCACGGGGCAGCTCCTCAATGGCGAAGTACGAAACATGTTGGGAAGGTTGTATGATTTCGAGGAGGCACACGGTCGTGCGTGTTGATTAGATTGTTAATCATGATTGCGGCCATTTCAAATTATGAAAAGCTGCAATTATGGCACAGTCGTCATTTGGTGAATGTGCGAAGTGCGAGTGTGGTGCATAGAAGATTTGGGCCGCCGTTCAATTTTTGCAATCCCACCTTTTTTCATTATGAAGAGGCCAGGGTTCCTTCTCATATATGCTGCAAATGATTTTACGACATCCCATGACCCAGATTCTGTGGGCTTCGCCTATTTAAGGCATGCCTCCTCGTATTCCTTACGCTGGTTGATGCCCGACCAAAGTGCCTTATAGCTAATATGCATCAAGGACAGGACTTGGGATGAAAAGTGGGGTTGCTAGGTATGGTTCAATACCTTGACAGAATGTTCCTTTCTCAACACACATGTGGATAGTTCTTATATTTTGAATCAACTATAACAAGCTACGAGTTTATTCAAATGCAGGAAAAATATCCAAGCATATTGCATTTCAATAAACAAAAGCATTTGGCGTACAAGTGTTAGTCAGTGGGGCAGACTTGTGCAAAGATCGATGATATGATGACAATGGCGAAGGCTAAGGCGAAAGCAGGTTGTTCATAAAATTTACCTAATATGGCAGCAAATGTGCTGATCTATCCCTTTGTCGGAAGCCTATGTGGGCTTTGCTGCCATGTTAGAACCCACTTGAAGCCTTCGTGCGATAGGGTGTAACAAAATTCTGATTGCCTACATCCTGATTTTGTTTTACCCTTCTAACCCCCTTCAACCAGAAGGAACTCCAAAAGTTTCAAAATCTATTGCTCTCTCTTTTCTCAAAATTCCAGTCCATTTCCTCCTAAACAAATACATACGTGCATATAGATAGATATACCCAATAAACGATCCAAACACTGCCAATCGTGCCTTCCACCACCTTAAACTCAAATGGTTACTACTACTAATAACAATTAAAGAATAACCGTCTTAAAAGAAGACAATGACAATGACAATGGTTATTGCTATTACTATTATAATATTAATCTAACATTTACGAGTCTTACCAAGTCAATTAAGTTCTAGGAAATCTCTGAAAGAAAATTTTCAATTTCAAGACACGACTTTCAGTGTAAATTCAACTATGACAATGAAATAATTGGTTAGTTTAATATATTCATCTTGATTCTCTGCAATTAGATCACTGAAATTCAAAGTCCGAACCTCACCAAAACTGTCGATGGTCGCCAGAATCAACACCCATAACCAACTAATAATCTCCACTTCCGAGATGAATTTTCTGCAAATTCAAACGTTTGGGCCATTTTGTAGAGTACTAGCATGGAATGGCCTGTCTTGGTGCACAGCAGTATGTTCCATATTCGTGCTCATTTGTGCACGGTTGTGTGAAGCCCGTGCATTAGCAGTGTGCACAAAGCCCATCCAAGTCGTCGTTTTAACC